CTATGAATACTAGTTGTGTTTTATGTATGGATCTGTAACCACCATCTATTTAAGTGAGTAAGAAATACTGTTTACTTTCATTTGAATCAATTAAATCAGAATGTGAGCTCCCATGAAATTACAGCTTTGTTCTTTTTGTAATTGCCTCTCCCTTCCCAGAGTCTAATATCCCAGGGATTTTACCCCTATTCTATTTTAAATAAATTTCTGCATATCCTCACAGAATGTTCTTTGTACATTTTTTTTCTTAAAAAAAAATTGTGGTAAGATAACATAAAACTTACCATTTTAACCATTTTTAAGTGTACAATTCAGTGGCATGAAGTACATTCACAATGTTGTACAACCATTACCATTATCCATTTCCAGAACTTTTTCACCATCCCAAACAGAAACTCTGTACATATTAAACCCTAACTCCCCATTCTCTCCTCCCCCAGTCCCTGGCAATTCCCCATCCCTTCCTTCCCTCAGCCAGTGGTAACTCTACTCTGCTTTCTGTCTCTAGGAATTTGCCTAGTCTAGATACCTCATAAAAGTGGAATCACATAATATTTATCTTTTCTCTCTGGCTTATTCTTCTTAGCATAATGCATTTATTCATGTTGTAGCATGTATCAGAATTTCATTTCTTTTTAGGGCTAAATAATATTCCACTGTATGTAGATACCACATTTTTTAATTCATTTATCTGTTGATGGGCACTCGACTTGTTTTGTTTTCACCTTTTGGCTAATTTGAACAATATGGTACAGACCTTGGTGTGCAAGTATCTGTTTGAGTCCTTGCTTTCTATTCTTGTAGGGTATATACCTACGTGTGGAATTGCTGGATCATGTGGGAATTCCATGTCTAATTTTGAGGAACTGCCAAACTGCTTTCCACAGCAGATGCATCATTTTATATCCCCATCAACAACGCATGAAGGTTCTCTGTACCTCTCTGTTTTGACAGAAATGCGGAGCTCCTTAAAGGACCCAACTTTCCTCACAGACGCACACATTCTCCTGTGCATCACACACCATACAGGTTTCTTCCTTTGATACATATAGCTGTTTATTTCAACACGTAGCTTTTATCTATCTATTTTTAGGTCGTTTGCCATTACGGCACTGACAGTGAGTACCCAATCTTTTCAGACAGTATCCAAATGGGTATTCAATACTTGAGTTTCATAATTTTTTACTTCTTCATATCTAGTGACCCCCCTCTCAATTTTGTCTACTTCTAAGGCAATGCTTTTAATATTGTCAATGCTCAGTCTGAGTGCTTCACCTCTGAGATCTTAAACAGCAACAGTCCACTTTCTGCCTACAACCTCTGATCATTTCAGCTCTTGAATTTTCTTATTCCTGCCACCTTTGCCCTTTGATCTCAAGATTTAGGGTTTCTTAATTCCTCCTTTTTCTCTTGGTATATAGGTTCTTTCAGTTTTACTTCCTGCTCTATTTAGCTTAGACCATCATCATTTCAACAAGTTTTTGCTAGTTTACTTTCAACCACGCTCCTCTCCATCATTTTGGTCCTGCAAACCTGTAATCCTGGATCATTTCAATCCTTTGCCTTCTGTGCTACTATACAAGGTAGTTGAACGTGTCAAGTTATGCAACTGTAAAAACTAGAACTCATCTGTAGCATCTATGCCCAGCTCGCTCTTTAGGACTGCTTGTCGTGGTCTTCTTGCCCTTATTCAGTTTTCTTTCCCATTCCCTTTCAAAGCCTCCTGCCCTCTGCACTTTAGAAGCCCATACTGACCCTCACTTTACAGAAAAAAATGAAACTCTTAATTCTGAACTGAAACTTATTTCTATTCCACAGCTATTCTTATCTCTTTCAGTCCTGTCTGTGAGCACAAGGTGACCATCTTCCTGCTCAAGGCAAATGCTTTGGGAGATTCTAAATTCCATCTCTTCCTACTTCTGTAGGAATCCTGTTCCAACCATAACAATTCTATTAGCTCTTTCCAATTCGTCATAAGCAGGCTCAAATATCTGCCATTTTTCAAAAACCAAAACCAAAAGTCCTGAACCTATCTTCCTTTCTTCTCAACTATCATTAACATCTTCCTTATTCAAGTTTCTTCAAGGACTGCTCTATTGTCCAAATTACTATGCTTCTTGACCTCTAATCACTCTTCAATTCACAGAAAACTAGCTTCTGTATCTAATGCTTTATTAAAACTACCTCTGTGGAGGTTACTAATGACCACCTAATTTCAAATAGAAAGGACACTTTTTCTCCTTATCTTCCTTAACCATTTAGCAATAGATGACCTTTTTTTAAAAATTTTTAAAAATCTCCTTCTTTGGCTTCAGTGATATACATTTGGATTCTACTCCTACTTCACTGACTTTGTCGTGTAAAAGTAAATTTATCTTAACGTTGGTTGAGCACTAACAATAAGCTAAATACTGTGCTAGGAACTGTACATACTTAAAACAACTGTATGAGGTAGGTGCTATAATTCTAATTTCACAAAAAGGAAATGGTCTTGGAGAGGTTCATTTATATAAGCCACAAAAGGCAGGGCTGTCTTAAGTGCAAATCCCAGTAGCTTTAGCATACTATCAGCCTTTTTTTTTTTTTTTTTAAGTAGCAGTGAGAGGGGTACATGTGAAGCCTATCTTTGAGCCAACAATTGTTAACTCTTTATCTAGAAGAGATTGTTTAACTCTGTTATACTCATGTAGATTAAAAAAGTCTTTGGAAAACAAGTATTTTGGCTTTACAATTTTTAAAAATCTTTCAGTAATCTGCAATTCAGTAAAAAGAAGGAGCATTAAGAACTGACATCAAGGTTTGTTTTTTAAGAAAAAAAATGTCAGGTCATGTAAGATTATCATATGCTTCTCAGAATTCCTGGATAATGTCACTTTATCAACAAGCATTTGCTGTCCTATCTCACAAGGATGGCAGGGGAAGGTTCCATGAAAACTCTCCCTTACCGATAGTGTGAAGCTACTTCATACCGCACTGCAATATCCAAGGGCACAAACCACACAATATTCATAAGTCCTAGTAGCAGGTTTAATATATGCTCCTATTATTCTACCAAGAGGCCCTAATTTAATGCAGCTACTTGAAATGTGCTTGTAAAGAAGCATCCCTCAAACTTGAATACATGTGGGAATTTTTAGGGAACTTAAAACACTGACAGCCTAGTCCTACCTCAAGAGACTGATGTAACTGGCCTGGGAGGAGATGGGGATTAGAATTTTTAGAGGCTCCTCAGGTGCTTCTTATGCACAGCTACAGTTGAGAACCCATTGGTGTAAAGTATGAAGGAAAGATTGTCATATCCACTCTATAGTGACAAAAAAAAAAAAAGGGTGAGTGGCTGGGATGTCTTCATTAATCATCAGGTTTTTGTTTACCGACATGATCACATATAGACATTGCTTCTAACTGCAGACAAATGATCCCCAGTCAGTCATCAATCAAACATACTTAATATTTTATAACTGCATTAATTCGTAAGGCTACTATAACAATGTACCACAAACTGGGAGGCTTAAAACAGAAATTTACCTACAGGTCCAAAATCAAGGTGTCAGCTGGGTTATGCTCTCTTTGATGGCTATAGGTGAGAATCCTCCCAGGCCTCTTCTACATTTTAGTGTTTGCTGCCAACATTTGGCATTACTTGGCCTGTGGATGCCAGGTGCACAGTTGTCTTCTCCCTGTGTCTTTATATAGCCTTCCTCTATGTGTGTGTGTCTGTGTCCAAATTTCTCCTTGTTATAGAACATCAGTCATATTAGGTTAGAGCCCATGCTAATGACCTAATTTTACCTGGCTGCCTCTCTAAAGGCCTTATTTCCAAATACAGTCACATTCTGAGATTCTAGGGGTTAGGACTTCAACATATCTTTTTTGAGGGACACAATTCAACTCATAACAATAACCAACTACATATGCCAGTAACATTGTTCTAAAGCAGGCATTCTTAACTTGGGATGAAAAAAAAATTCATCTTTATTTTTCACTCTGGTGTAAATACAGCATTTCTTACAGTTATGAACATAGCCTAAAACTACAGTAGTACTGGTTAGCAGTTCTTGAGAAATTGCACCCATAGGAACCACTGGTGTTTTCACATCACATTTCAGGGTTTGCAGTTATCCCAAAAATACCATTTACAGTCATCACTATTTTGAAATTATAGTTAATAGACTTGCTGTTAGACATACTAATTTAATGTATTAATAATGATGTGTGAATATAGTAAAATATCATGACATGATACTTTCATAACTATTTCAGTAAAGCTGATTTTGATTTAATTGCATTTTTTGTACTTAACAACATTATTCTGAGAAGGGGAAAAATTAAAAGAAAATCTTTCAATAACCCACAGCCCAAGTTAGTGAATTCTTACACTTCAGACTTGAGGGTTTTTTAATCTTATTAAGTATCAGAGAACATACAGGACATTGTACATCACTTTTCAAACCTTTTATTTTTTTTTTTTACCATGATCCATTGTGAAAATATATATATTTTACACATAACTCAATATACCATCTTAACTCTCTTTCACACAACACCAAACTGAAACCAAAGTATCATAAAACAATATTTACCTTTACTATAGGAGATGCACTCTGACATTTTTTTTAATTTTTTTAATTTTATTATGTTATGTTAATCACCATACATCATTAGTTTTTGATGTAGTGTTCCATGACTCATTGTTTGCGTATAACACCCAGTGATATTTTCTATTCTATTTCTTTTCATTAAAAAATGCCAGTGTGACCTACTGAATTAATTTCACAACTACTCTTGGAGCATAAATTAAATAAGTGTTAAAAATCCTTCAGTGGCATTCCTTTATAAAACTTCTCATATTATATTATAATTGGCGAAAGGCTGTTTTTACTGTTATTCATGTACTGTTTTAAATATATATATCATTTCAGAGGTGGCATTTAGATGAGCAAATAGTTCAATAGGGCCAGACCAACATTTATTTATGCCCAGGTTAAAAAGAATTTTACCTGTAGTAAACTCGAAGTGTTTGGATTTCTTCTTCTAGTTTTTTGTACTGTTGAACTGCAGTCTCTCTGGCTTGTTGCATAGCCAACAACTTTGCCTGCAAGTAATTAATATTTTAAGAAATTTAATATTAGTTTTGGTATGTTAGAATACAGTATTGCAGTATAAATAGGAGCCTTAAATTTGTGGTAGTTTTAAAATCTATCTGTATTTTCAGTAGTGTCTCATAATTTCTCACAAAATAATCAAATTATATGAGTAACAGACATATTGAAGACAAGAATATATTAAATTTACCAAGTTTGCTCATTACTCAACTTCAACCTTATTCATCTGTATCATCAGATATATGCCCTTCTGCAATGTTTAACTTTATACACAGAATTCAGAATGTGGAACATGGGTTCAGAGCAATATCTTGAGATAAGCACAATCGGTGTTTCACATACAAACTTAATGTGGCTCCACTGCCTGACCACACTAGATTTTCTTTTAACTTTATTAATAGTAAAACCCAGAAAATTCTAAATATGTTGTTAAGCCATCTTTGATATTTAATGTGAAAAAAATATACAAGACTATAACCTGATTCTTACAGATATGACTTAACCTTTTCAATTCCTTTTCTGCCAGACAAAAATCTCTGAAGGGAGTATGGCAACAATCTTGAATGTTAAGAGGTATTTTATTCAAAGGATGTTATTGTTCCTCTCTGCCTGTAGTATTCAAACTTTAAAAGGGACTGTAGTCAGTTTTTCAACAGAGTTCAAACTTGTAGTTTTAAAAGAACTGCCAACTTCCAACCATCTTTCCCATTGGGTTTCAGGCGTAGCCAAAAAGTTTTCAATGAAACTTTTAAAATATGATACCGGTAAAGTCAGATTTCAGTTTTGTTTATTCAAAATTTGATTTGCATGAAAAGACTGTCTTTCACTTTAAGTGGTGTTTGATATGTAACACAGAGCAAATTGTTATCAAACACCTCACAAACTACACTAATGGCAATAATTAAGAAGTGATTGAGTTTGGAGGCAGAAGTTCACTAATTTTGCTGAACTCAGATGATTTCACTGGGATTATTTTCTTGCATAAGAATAAAGTCATAAGACAAACTGTGAAATCCTGACCACAGGAAAATTAATTAGTGTAATGTAAGTGAGCACTGGACAATGCCACTTTTCTATTTGAATAATGTAGAATAATAAAAACAATGCAACAATTCAGGTCTTTGTATATAACTTTAGGAGCTAAGTTAAATAATTTGTTCTCTATCTGGGCTAGCAAACCTAACAAAGAGTTACTTGTTCATTAAATTTAAGATGTTTGAGTGCTTGCTTTAACATGTCACGTTCTAGAATTATAGATAAAACATTCTCAAAAATTATAAAAAAGCATTTAAAAATAGGTGGCTGGTTCTTTATGTCAAAAATTGACAGCTTTGCCAATTTTCAGTAAACTATAAAATGTGATTGAAATGGTTAATATGGAAGACACAGATACCCACTGTGACTAATGGTCAAAAAGAATCACACAAAAAAGAACATATCACATTCAACTTACAAAATGTCGAACATCCTGTTACATGTATTTAAGGAATATCAAATATTGGACAGGTAACAGAGAATTTGCTAAATAAATATATGAGAATGCTAAGTACCTTAGATGATTATTTTTGATTTTTTTTTAACCTGGTACTTCTGCAAAAACGAACAAACAAAAACAAAACAAACAAACAAACAAACAAACAAAAACCCCCTCCCAAACCAAAAACAAAACAAACAATGTTCTGGTAGGAAAACGCCATAATGAAGATTTCTGCCTAAGAAATTTCTGCAATAAAAATGGGAACATGAGAATTTTACTTAAATTCCTGTGCTTCAGGTAATACTGACTTTCTCACTTCTCACATTTAATTGGCTATGAAGATCTGGTGTGGCTTCATAGCAACCCAAATGTCTAATCTTATGTCTAGGCCTTGCTGACTATGTTCAAAGCTATTATAAACTTCCTGGCTTTTCCTTTATCAGATATATGTTCATCTGGCCAGCATTTCTTTTTTGGGGAAATACGCTTACCCTCTGTCACAGTGATCCTGTTCAGTCCTGGTGGCTAGGATGAACTTCATTCCCTACCACTCAGGTAAATATAATCCAGGTTGTGCAAACACAGTACTCCATCCCACCAGCCCCAGAAGAAAACTGAATCCTGATGACATCATTTGTACTCCTGGATCCCCTCTGCCAGACAGTTTCAGATCCATTCCATCTCTTGGACTTCCTGAGTACATAAGTCTTTTTTTTTTAAGTTTAGGCTAGTTTGAGTTGGATCTATGTTATATGTAAGAAAACTAATTTAAATGTGCTGTTTACTTCTATTGCATTTCCTACTTTCACTACTAATATCATATAATTCCACCACATTACAAATCAATAATAAATTTCATATAAAAAACATTAAGGAAATTAGTGAACAGATATTTTTTCCTGTTCCTCGGGCATATTTCCCATATTTCTGGCAATTACATGAAAAAAAAAAACCTGCATGTATTCATTTATCTGTGTACTCATAAAAACATATGCATTGGGGTGCCTGGGTGTCTCAGTCGGTTAAGTGCTGCCTTCGGCTCAGGCCATGATCCCAGGGTCCTGGGATCAAGCCCCGCATCGGGCTCCCTGCACAGTGTGAAGCCTGCTTCTCCCTCTCCCTCTGCCTTCTGCTCTGCCTATCTGTGCTCTCTCTCTCTGTCTCTGTCAAATAAATAAATAAAATCCAAATATATATATATATATGCATTAAAAAACTAACAAAATTTAAAAAGTATAAGAAAATACAGTGTAAAGTAAATCTTTCTTCCACCTCCAACCCTCAGTACAAATCCCTTCTCCTGAGATTAGCAGTCATCTGTCCAGAAATAGTCTATACTTGTATATATAAGCATATATGCAATGGCATACACCTATTTACAATATTGATGACATTCTTTACAGTGATAAACTTTGTCTTAAATTTAAAAAATATTTTGTTATCTTGCTTCCTATTTAAAAAAAAAATCCTCTACCCCAACCCATATATCGCACTTACTAGTTATACTCCCTCCTTCCCTTCCACCCCCAAAGTGAACACTTCCATGAATTTGGGCTTATCATTTTCAAGGACATTTTATACTTTTATTATATAGTTATATACTTACAGATAATGTATATCTTTTTGCAGATTTTAAACTTTATATAAATGATACTTCACATATTTCACAGGCAACTGCTTTTTTGACATTGTACTTTTGACTTTTATTCATGTTGATATATGTTTATCTGATAACACTTATCTTCACATGTTGTAAAGTGTGCAATATACTGTGATTACAGATATATTTGGACTTATTTGTACATATTTTTCATGTTTCATATATCCTGTTTTCTCTGCTTCTCTTTTTTGTCTCTCCTTCTTTTGGATTAAATTTTCTATAATACCCCTTTTATTGTAATGCTTAGAATCTATGTATTTATACTTTACCTTGAAATTTTTGATAAAGATACTTATATTTTTGAGCAAGGCCTTCAGTGAGTCAGGATTTCTATATACAATCAGAGTTTTAATAAATGTTTTACACAACTATAACACTTTTTCTACTTATAGGTATATTTTTAGATAAAATCTTTATTGAAGTAAAACATGCATCATGTATCACATAAGTATACATGGATGTATTTTTTAAAGTCAAGTTTATTGAGTTATAACTTACACAAAGTAAAAATTTACCCATCTATTATGTACAGTTGTATAAATTTTCACAAATTTATAGTCATGTAACAGCCATCACAATCAAGATACAGAATATTTCCATTCATCCACAATGTTCCCTTGTGCACCAATATAGTCAATGTCTTCCCTTTATACCCAATCCCTGGCAACCACTTGTGATTTTTATTCCTATAGTTTGCCTTTTCTAGAATGACACACAAATGGAATCATGTAGTAGGCAGCCTTTTGAATTTGGCTTCTTTCACTTAATGCTTTTGGGATTCATTCATACTATTACATTTATCAATGGTTCATCCCTTTATGTCACTGAGTCGTATTCCATCATAGGGATGTACCAAAATCTATATATCCATTCACCAGTTGATGGACATTTGGGTTGTTTCCAGTTAGGGGCAATTATTAATAAAGCTCCTATAAACATCAGCATATAGGTAATTTTGTGGAACAACGCCTTCATTTCTTTTAGGTAAATACCAAGGAATGGAATGGGTCCTATGCTAAGTGTGTATAATGTGTTTATATATTTTATATAAAGTGATGTACTTTATACAGCTATATACACTATAAAGAAACTGCCAAACTTGCTGCTTAAATTGATGTAACTTGAAAGCATCTGTGCTTAACTATAATGCCATTTGTTGAATGCCTACTATGGGTTGGGCATTGTATCAAGTGCTTGAAATCCTATAGCCTATCCCCACAATCAGCCTATGAGAGAACTCCTATTATCCTTATTTTACAGGTGATAAAATTGAAGTTCATGAAAATTAAGCAACTTGCAAGACTATATAACATTCTCAGATATACATATGTAAATATACGTAAACACTTAACATACATATGTTTACACACACACACATACACATATACGCTAGGTCAACCTATATTCTTAAGAACAGATGACAGATAACAAAAAGTAATTACTTAGGAATTTGAAAAATAACCCACCAATGTGTGGGTTCACAAGCACTTGATTAATTTTCATATGTCTTAGCCACACTTGCAGGGAAAAGGACAAGCAGAGATGTACCAGATACTCTTGAGCATGCTGCCTTTTTATATATCACTCAAGCCTTTCCACATATAATTGCTCTTTTTGTTTTTTATTCTAATTCCACCAAACTTCACCTAAGTTTTCGGCATGAAGGAGTCTTGTCTGGGAGTCATGTGTGTATTTAGTCTTAGTAATGGTAATAACTGGGAGTCACGCTGTATTTAGTCATTAGCTGGATCTTCTACTTCTTGAACTGTGCTGCTGGTTCATCTCTCCCTAATACTAGTAAGAATATAAACATTCTGCTGCTTACTCCACCAAAATTTACCTATTAAAAACAT